CATGATTATTATTAATTGAAACAAGTACATGATAATCATCATTTTTATCATTATTACATTAATATCACTTGTCATATTACTTTTTTGCATGATAATTGTATTCTAAAACTTTTAGATAATGTAAGTGACATAATGATACAATTATGGTATTTTATAAATAGTAAAAACATAAAAAATCATATTTCAAACATAGCATTCATGAATGCTAAGTTCCGTAACAAATTTGATATGTTCCGTAACGGAAAAATGCAACCTTACAACACAATACAAATCATGTTAGACTTCCAGTTAATATTGGACACCATTTTCATATATCTTTATAATGAAAAAACACACTGGAGCAGTTTTTTATAAACAAACTGAATAAATGTATTATGGTGCTGAAAAAAGTTGATAGAAGACTATGCTTCCGTAACAAATTGCCTTTGACTATTTGATAAACTGTGCACTTCTTTTTCATCGAAATATGTGTTCCATGTTTTTGAAACCAATCATTCATTTCAAATTGTTAAATAACTATGGATAAAGTACATATATGATATCAGATTATGATCTCAAAATAATTAACTATGTTCCGTAACAAATGTTTTCAAACAGGTAAAAAAAATATAAATAGCATCAACTTGCCACTTTTGAGATCTGTGGTTTGCTGAAAATAAAGCTTGCAATCGATTGTACCAGTAAAATTTCTCGTGTAAGTAACATAATTGTGAAAACATCGTTATAAAATAAAAAACAGTGGTTGCCAAAATAAAGTACAGTGATTGCCAAATACGTCCAGTTGCCTAATTGTATCATAAAAGTCAATTAAGATGTTGCATGCATACCTCATAGTTACGTATCATTGGGAGAGGTGATGGGCAAAAAAGTCACACCGTCAATTGAACCGTATACTGTACCGAAATTCGGATGATCGTTTTGTTACGGAAAATAGCCGTTATGGAAACATAGTGAAATTAGACTTCTACGGGTCAGAGTTATCACATTTTTGTGCAAACGACATCTCATTTTGGTGTTTTTCATTTAAAGAAATACAAAACAATATTTTAAAATTTTTATTTGATTGGTATAATGTGTATTTAAAAGTATACGCCCGTTACGGAGGCATAGCATTTTAAACGCGACATTTGAATTATTTACAATAAAACGGTTTGTGTTTAAAATGTATCATTGCAGGAGTCTAATTTATCAATTTTATTCCAAATATAGTCTTTTGATATTGTTTTGAGTACAAATTTAAAAGAATATAACACATCTCAAGATCGTTACATTCAGTTTAGAATCGTTACGGTACCATAGTTGCATTTTGGCGACGGCAGCATTTAAAGAAAATCATGGGAAAACAAGCGTCTCTGTCTCGAACTTCTTATGTAATTCTTAATCTATTATCAATACCGTATTGATTTTAGGCAAAAACTTGTTGGAAAACATAGAAATGGATTGTTTTTTTCACCAATCTCAAACTTTAATTGGTCAAGCGACAGCGCTTTTTTGCAGTTAATATAGCTTTTCAATTTAACACAAATGACAAAAGAGGAGCATCTACGCTACAAAATTAAAGTTAAGCTGCTGAGAACATCCCAGTGTACTTATTTAAATGTTTGTCACAAAGGATTAAGCTCGTCTGTACATTTTACTACGATTTTAAAAGTGGAGACAGGAATTATTAAAAAGTGCTTCAATTATAGGAGAATGGCTGACAGGTGTTTTGTTCTGAAACACCCTTAGGAAAAGGAAAGGCATTTAACTTGCAGTTATTTAGCATTGTTTTTCTGACCAGTTTTAACCATTTATTAAGCAGTTTTCCTTGACAAATGTGATTATGTAGAAAGCATTTAAAATGCAGTTAAAATGCATTTAAAATGCAGTTATTTAGCATTGAAAAAGCATTGAAATCAGCCGAAATATGTAAATGAGATGACATCATAAAACTGCCTCCAAATATGGAGATAGCATTTCCAACCATTTATATGACCTCATAAATAACTGCCAAAAAATTGTGTTTGCATTTTCAACCATTTATATGACATCATTAAAAAACTTTCAAAAAACTACTGAAGCCTTTATATGACCTCATAAATAACTGCAAAAAAACTTTCAAAAAACTGTTGCATTTATTTGAGCTAATATAATACTGTTAACAACTGTTCACATCTGAAAATAAATGTACATGTACATGGAATTTCTATTACATTGACACATATGTATGTACATAGATTTCTTACAAATCACCAAATCCCCTAACTTTTCATGAACTCAAAAGCATTGCCCTTTTAGTTTCATTAGGCAACCAGTTTGATTACTGTGTGGACTTAAAGTTTTGGACACTTTTTAATGTATTTAACATTAGAAATTGCTAAGACGAACAACAGACATATTGAACTGTCAAAAATCTCACAATAAGCCTCTGGATCTTTTGAACTTTGAGATTAAAGGCCATATATGCGTTTGTAATGAGCAAAAATGTTAAGTACAAAAATCTTATCCAATGACATTGTTATGAACAAAAAACGAAAAGAAATCATAGTATTTTCTCTTCTAAAATGGTCAAAATGTTGAAAAACACCACATAATTCTTGTAACGCCTACAAGACGTTACACCAAATAGTGCTTACATTTTAAAAGCATTAAAAGATTGGATAACTGAATGATGATTTTAAAAAAGTTATTTTATTTCTTCTTTGATGGTGATATCTTTTATATTCTAAAGGCCTAGCTGTCTAGTGTACATCATTTACGTTATATTGCAGACTATCAAATTTCCATAATCAAAGTACTGAAGGTACTAACGATACAGAAACGACTGGGGTTTATTAGTAAAAAACAATATACAAAGGCTAAATATTTTGACATTTGGTGTCAAGAGGTAAAACCCTTTCGATACAGAATTCTTAAGAAATACATGGGGCTTTAAAGTCTAGCTTAAACAAAACAAAAAAAACAAGATATACAAGAACTGTTAAAAGTGGACATAAGTGATTCATGCATATGTCAGCTATAAAGAATCGTTTTAAGTGTACATAATGAGAAAATGAGGGGACATAATTATTTTTGAACAATTGCCATAAATAAGATATCTATTCTCAATCTGATCCTCCAATATCAGAAATTTTATATTAATACATACTGATGTCTAATGCTGACTAGATTTTTAACTATAGAGCAACAGATAAATTTTAGAGCTAGTGTCTTTACTCCTATGTTTTTTGGAAAGAGTGAGTCACTTCTCAGACACAAAAAAAAAATAATTTTGTTTTACAATAATAATAATAATATGTAGGACTTCATAATGTCTTTTCATACATTTAACTTGTCTGTCAAACATGCTTTCTTTCATTTACAGTGAAAGTTCCTATTTTCGCGGTACTAAAACAGCTAACAGTAATTTTGAAATCAAAGTTATATACTATTGTATAGTATTTTGCAAAGCTTCCTTTTGAAAGAAAATTGAAGAAAAGAATGCTGTAGAAATTTTGTTTTGATTTGAAATTACGTTACCGCAAGCAGTATAATTTATAAAATACAACAGCTAGTGTCTGAGTTTCAACTCTGTCGCAGGCATTGTAAACTACAACCTTCACATTGTACAGACAAACTATCTGGCTCATGAGTTTTAAAAAAAAAAAGAGAAGACGACAGGGTTTGTTCATGTGATTTCTTTTGCTGCCTCTGGACGGCATGACTCAGTTTGAAAGTAAATTTACACCCCACACCGGTGAGTTGTACACATACAATATTGCTATGATGCACTACAAGGTATTAAGTGAATATTAGTGTGCATGAATTATATTTTCCTAAAAGCATTTAAATAAAACTTGTAAAAACTGCAGCTTCTGTCACAATCTTTTAGCTTAAAAAAATGGTTCAAGAAAATAACTTGTAAAAAATGGTAATGTAAGTATTGTTTAACATCACCATTTATTTTTAAATGTTGAAAAACTGGTAAAAAATGCTGGACACAAGTTTTTTAACAACAAGTTTTTACCAGTTTTTTAAGAACTGCTGTTTAAATGGAATCCTACAAATTAAGATGAAGGGCAAAAAATTGTAAAAAAGGCATTTATTTGAAAAAACTGCTAAATAACTGCAATATAACTACAAGTTAAATGCCTTTCCTTTTCCTAAGGGCAGATGTGTGTGTAAGCTAGTAAAATAACAAGCTCTCTTTGAAGGACTATATTGAATGTTGCAAAAAATCTTGAAAATTAAGAATGAACCTTGGGCCTAACAAAAAATATGTTTGTTTCCTGTGACATGGTTTTAAAAAATAGGGTAGGTAGGTGTCATTCGGTATTTCATTCACCACTTCCGTTTTCATTCGGAACACATGACGATTATAATCCGAAAAGTTGCGTTTGTCTGTTATCGGAATACCTCGCCTAATATGAAATTAGGCAAAGCCTATGAATGGGGAAGTCGTTAAAAAATTCCTTTCATTCTTTCCGTTTTAAAGGTGTCATCCGGTATTACATGCACCGCTTCCGTTTTCACTCGGAACACTGGACGATTATTATTTATCCGAAAAGTTAAGATTTGTTCCGTTATCGGAATACCCCACCTATTGAGTTACATTGTAAATGGCGGTGCCTAACTAGAACTGACACTGAAAATTTCATTGATAGGTATAGAATTCTATATATTTTTTAATAGTTTTTTTATTTGATTTTCTTTTAAATATACACATGTAGTCTATAGCCGGGTAAGCCGAAGCCCGGGTCGCTTTGTGGACCCGGCCTTTGACTTCCCCGTATGAATATGCGGTACAAAGTTTATTATGTTTTCCCCTCAAATAGTTTAGGGTCAGTGGTCAAAAAATAAGGTAGGTAGGGACACCGGAAACAAACAATTTTTTTTAGGCTTCATCCAAGTACAAATCACACAGAACTAGGTGATCAGTTGATAAGAAAGCAAGCATTGCTGATTCATAAAAACAGGACCTTTGACACATTTTTGCTAATTCTGTGGACTTAATTATGGACAAAAATGGTTACTATTTTATTTTTTTGCAGATGCACATAAAGCAATAATGATGTGATAAAGTGATAGACCTTGAGTATTGTTGGACTCTTTAAGATGACAGCCTACAAGTTTACATCACACAGGCAGCTGAGAGATGCTATCAACAGTGTAGAGAAAGTTCAAAAACAAAATATAGATGAGTATTCTTGGGGTCATCTCAATGAAAAGAATTTATTTCGACCTCCCATGCACCTAACACAGGGTGGTGGGAGAATATGGAAATCTTCAAAGAAAAAGAAATCAGTGGTTAAAGATTCAGACTTAGTTCCAGGGTTACCAACACCAAGGCAAAAGCAAAACAAAGAAAAGGGAAAAGAAATGAAAGATGTTCTGTATGAATTTAGTCTTGGAACTATGGCCAGTGTTCCTATGCCATCGCCAAATAGAATAGAAACACCTAGACGTGAAAAGATAAACAGTTTCCGAAAAGAAACCACTGATGTGAGCAGAGCTTCAGAAGATAGCCAGAAGTTAAGAATTGATTCTGGAAAGTCTATCTACTCTCAACTGGATGATGGTATTCTAGTTGAGGAGCTAGGAAATCAGGAACTTATGGTCAAATCACCTCGTGTGCAACAAAGCTATTTTCCTCCTGCAAGGTCAAGGCCATTTGATTCTGATTATGACATTATGGCAGATCTAACACAAACATTAGATGCTGAAGGTTATCTTGTACAGAAACATTCTTTTTTACCATCATTTACAAGTGGTGTAACAAAATCAGACCAGTTTAATAAACTAAGACAATTTGAGGATACAGTATTAAGGAAACAGGACTGTAGAGAAAGGAAAGTATTGTCAGGGGTTAAGGCAGTGGAGCACCTAGAAAAGAGACTTGAAGAGGTAACAATATTGTAATATTACCTTGCAAATAGAACCTTTGGTGTAATTTTCTATGTACATGTATTGAAATAATAAATATTTCATTTTGCTGTGGTTTTACATCACACCAACTATCCAAGGACATGACACCAGCTTTACTGGTGGAGGGTGAAGGACTTCAGGTGCCCTTTTTTTCTCAAGCACAGGTTGTAACCTAAGTAGAACCACCAACCTTCCTTAAGCTAGCTCTATAGCTTATTTGTATTAAAGAATCCAAAGTCCCCAATAGTATTTGCACACATAGATGTGAGGGGCAAATGACTTGAAGTCAGCAGCCTTAATGTTTTGACCATGGAGGCAACAATTAACTGAATATATATATTTTATTTACATTTTATGTTCATGTTTTAATGCATGATTTTTCTAATATGTTTAGGACCTGGAAGTGATGAATCTTGGAGGTATAGGACCAAACTTTCACAAGTTACAGGTGTTCAGTAATAACTTTGAGGACCTTATTGATGAAACACCAACATTTGGCTATATGTTAAAATGCATAAAGGTGATAAATCATTTTTTTAAAATGATAATGTATAAAATGATGTCATGTACATCAATTTAAGATAAAGATATACTTTTGAATACTTCACATTGTAGTCTCTTCTATTACTACTGCAAATTAAAATATTTTCAGCAGCTTTTAATTTAAGAAATAACTTTTTTCATTGGACTTAACTTGTAATTATTTGTTTCAACAAATATTTTGAAGCTGACTGTCATACTGAATTTGCATCTATTTTTATTTTTATTTTAGAAAAAGTTATTGACTTGCAGATCTATAAATTATTCATGCTATTATTTTAATTGGGACTGTTATGTTTGTTATTATGTAAACATTGATGTTTTTGTTGACAGTCGGAGTATGATAACTACATCACCAAGTTATTAGACAGTCAGACACCTCAACATAGTCGTCTGTTACGTGATCAGGTACAACAGATGTCTGCCCGCGGAACCTCTAGACCACAGGAACTCGGGGAGGCGAAGAAAAAAGTGGAAAATTTTGAAGAAGAGGCTAAAGAGCTCTTGGAAAAAAATCAAAAGTAAGTGCATGTGTACTGAAGGAATTTTAACAGTATATTATCTACATTGATTTCTCATATACATGTTATGTAACTTTATAAGTTAATTCAGCGAGCTAAGGTTTTAAATGTAGGTCTTCAGAGATAAACAGGATTTGCTTGTAAGAATAATTATTAAATCATGTTCAAATTGATTTTTAACTTTAAGTATAGATGCACTATGACTGAAGTACATATTATAGACTCTATATAGTTTACCCTTATATTGAAATACTTTTCAAACTTGATTTTGTAATTTCAGAATTGTTATGGAGGTCTTAACATAGATTATATTTGGTTACAAAAGTGTATAAAGTGATTGGCTTTTAAACACTTTATTCTTACCTTAGTTGGCTTTAATATTTACCATTTTATCTCCAGATTAAGGCAGCAAGTAAAAGAGGAGGAAGAATGGTTGGCCAATGTTCCAGAACCAGGTATGTTTTACACACATAAGTCATATATATTCACATAAAAATATCTAAATAAGCCTTTGCACATAATTATCCCAATAACAATGATAATTTATTGTTGTAAGAATGATGATGACGAAACAACAGGTGTAGTATATACAGGGGGTCTTTGACAAGAAATTAATTGCCACACAACTTCTTACCATCAAAACTGAAACCATACAATAATCTTTATGGGGTTTTTTTTTGCACACATATACCTATTTTTCAAACTTTCAACCTGTTTAAAGAGATAGAGATGGTGTTTGAATAAAATTATATGGTATGTTTGTACAGTTTCATTTTAACTTTCATGCTAGAATATAACTATCTAGTTTGTACTAAAACTTAGTGTTTAAATTAGTATAACTATATTATATTATAACAGAGCCACCATCACTACCAGTGGTCAGTATGTTTGTGGATGATTCTCCAGTAGAACTGGCTGAGGAGCTCGAGCACGGTAAAGCTCTGATTCTAGAAAAACTAGACGCCCTGAATGACCTTCGTAGAAAGCTGAGAAAGGAATATGTTCCACTGACGGTGTGCACTCATCTAGAACAGTGTATTAAAGAGACAGAGGTAGGCTTCTTTGTCCTTGTTATAAAACAGTTTAATTTTCTTTTTAATAAGTTTACAACCAATGCCAACCAAGCACTCTAATTTTTTTCCAACAAAAAATGGAACGATGATCATATTTTTACATAAAGGAAAGGCAACATACACATATCTATTCCACAAAGTTGTTGAATAGATAGTTATGAATTAATTGATTCCAGAGTGATTTTAACATACACATAAAAACTAGCAAAGTTTAAGTTAAAATGTAAGACATTAATTAGTATGTTTTGTGTTGCTTCAGAAGTTTGCATATCTTTGTTCATCTAATGTATGGATTTATTTGCTTGTTCAATTATATTCATAAACTTTTCCTGAAGTGTAATAATTTATACAAGTAACTGTTGAACTTAAAATTCATCTGATGAAAAAGAAAATGAGCAATTAGGATGACATTGAAGTTCATAGTCTCACAAGAATCAATTTTATACTTGGTTGTCAAAAGTATATGAAAACATCAGTTAGCAATTTGCAATTTAATTATAAAGACTTAATTGTCTTTAAAATCAGGACTAATTGATGACAAAAATTAAACATTTATTTATTTTGTGGACAGATTGAGGTACAGAAGTTGTTGAAACAGAATGAATATTTTGAGCGTAGTAACAATGAGATGGAGACAGAACTAAAAGATTCAATACAAGATGCTGATACTAGTGAGAGAGATGCTAGGTAACTATAACACTTGTTTATGAAACCTTTAACCTGCTGGGACCATAAGTGATTACAAAAGCCTTTGCCACCAGTATTGCCTGGGCCAGCCTGCAGATCCAGACAGTCTGACCAAGTTTTCTATTGTTGGTAGCTCAATTTTTTTTTTTTAATGAATTAAGTTCAAATGGACTGTTCCAGATTCAAAGCAGATATTGACTCATGACTGGCACTGATGTATGTTTGGTATAAATAAATATCAGTAAAGTGAAATGTTTATGAGAGAATGTTTGTCTTAAATTACCTTGTATGATTAATATTTGCATTGTTGTTGCTAAATACATAAAAATTTAAAGTTTTGTCATTTTTGTTACAGACGTATATGGAAGAAGGTGAACTCTCTACGAGGATTGCCTCGTGTCAACTTGACAAGAGAAGAAGGAGCGGTGGAGGATAGTGATGACGAAGAGGATGATGAGACAAAGTGGAACTGGTACATCTCATAAACATCACCATTATTGTTAGTACATCACCTTAATGTGAACAGTGTACTGTCAGTATATTAGTAAATAATGTAAACTGGTTCATATTGTGAACTTTAATATTACTGCTGCTGTTGTTGGCATAATAATTGTTATACTATGGAAGTGTTGTGATATATAAATAATGATCAGTGACATTATCTTGTTAAACTCTTGTTCTAATTATTATGGTTAAACTGTTGTTCTAATTATTATGGTTAAAATCTTGTTCTAATTATTGTGGTTAAAATTATCTACTGCTGAACTCTATCTGTGATAATGTATGGATTTTATATAGACTTTTAGTTGCTAGAATAGTTCCAAATACTTTCAGGTATTTTCAGTTGTTTTATATATAAAAAAAGATAAATTGTAATAAGTCACATTTGAACACTTCTTAAAGTTTATTTCTTTCTTATTGTACAAGACAGCAAAAAAAGATAATTACCATTACATGCTGATAAAATTGAACAAATAAAGTGTAATATGATACTACTGTGTGAACAATTCAGACCTTTTGAAGTGCAAATAACTAACTGTATTTAAAAAGCTTATTTTGTATATATTTTTGATATATTTTGTCAATGTTAAGACCTATACATGGCTACAAGAGTTTTACTGACCATGGAGTACGATTGTTAGATGTTTGTGTTATGTATACAATATTTCATTTAATAAAAAGCTAGTACACGTTGAAATGATTTTTATAATTTGTTAATAGTCAATTAAAGAATGGCACCAAACTTGTTTAATTTTATACTTGTAACGTTTGTATGAATTTGCATAATTTACTTTCAACAAACTTTGTTTACAAATGACTGTAAGCTTCTTGGTGTATTTAAGGCATCAATGAGAAGAAAAAACAACAAAACAGCTGTCCAAGGAGCAGTGAGCTCAACTTTCCTCAATGCTTGATAGTTTAAACTGAACAATAGCTACGAGATTATTTGAATATTTGAGGTCATGTTCACCTTTGACCTGATAATGGGTGTTGCAGGTTAACTCAACAATGTGCAGCTACAAACTCTCCATATGTTGTCCACTATCTAGTTTAATCAACTTAGCTTTTGTTCACATGATCACTTATAAATTTTCATTGCTTTTCAGCCATTTTCATAGCCATAGCAACCACATTTCCTCTAATGATAAGCTCAATATTGTCTTCTATGATCCTCATACAGAATATCATCCATCTAGCTTTTGTACTTTTTATTTGTTTGGGTCGTCAGACCAAACAAATAATGGTAGCGAAATTTCAGAGTCTAATGTTGTTAATTGCAAACGCCGAAAGTAGTCCACTTTTTTGAAGCGGTTACTTCCCTTTATATGTACACTAACACCAAAAATTCAGGGGAGATCACTGGGTAAAGATGGTCAAAGACAGGCAAATCAATTTTCAAGCAAAATAATTCCCGAATGGTCGAAGATTTCTAATATTGTTTTATTGTATTTTCTGATCAAAATTAAGTAAATACAAAGCGGACATTCAACCTCTGACACAAAAGTTCACAACAAACCTAACAACAAGTAGTTCTCAAAACAGCTTAAACTAGCGATTTAAAAGAAAGAAATATTTTTATTTTGTTACAAGTATCCAACAAATAACAACGCATTCAAAGTTTAAAAATAGCGTTGGCTAATAGAATTGTCAATAAATGCACAATCACAAATTACGCGGATGAATATGATTTTATCAATGAAAATACTATTTTTAGCGCTGTCGATTACCGAATACTACACAAACCGAGTAGTGGAATATATAGATTCTACATGTCGGACTGTTTGGGCACGAAGATTTTCGCTAAATTATTTACTTCAATTTTAAACAACAGGTTTATCCCTCGAAATTAATAAGGATAACAAACCCGAAATGCAAAAGTTCTAAATCTACAATGACCTGATGTTATTCAGATTGTATTTGTATAACTTCTCCGTGGAGCAGGGGTAACGCGTTCGCTTCATGAGTGAGAGGTCTGGAGTTCAAATCCAAGTAGAGGAAACTTTTTTTTTTTAATTCTTTTTTAAGTGTCTTTGTTAAGGAAGTAGCCATGATATGCAAGGATAACGTGTGACTGTCGTAAAAAAATGAACATAAATGATTTTTTGATGCATCTCTAGTTATGCAGAATTCCGTATGTATTAAACTCTGGTGCCTTGCAAAATGAATTATAATACATAAAAATAAACTTATACAGGAAAATGCATACAGATATACAGTACGATTAAGATTGCAAAGATCAGAAAATACCACAGAACTTGCATCCCTTTGATTCTTTATAAATATACATGCTTATAGTAAGCTCCAGGATTATTTACATCTGTGTTAAACAACAGTTAAAGTCGTTACAAGCCCTGATTTAGAATAATATGGTTTTCTTCAGGCCGTTCACATATAAATTCACCGTGGCTGAAGGGTTTTCGCTCTCGCCTATGAAGCGATAGGTCTGGAGTTCAAATCCTAGTAAAGGCAAACCATTTTTTTTTCAAATTGTTTAAGTCAAGTAAACATTGGATTGCATATCAGTGTTTCAATAAGTCTTATAGCCAATTTACTACAATTAAAACGCTGGAAAGCATTGGTGGCACTATACATATAATCTCACAACCTGCACCTTTCGTACATTCTGAGACCCAAACAAATTCAGCGCCTTCTGTGCTTTGATTGAGTTTTGGCATGATTCAGATCCACAGCATATAATAAATCTACTTGCTATAATCACAAGAAAGGTTCAAGTTAAGATAAATAGGCTCTGAAGAAATACAGTAATTTGAAGTTGCAGGTGCTTGAAATCGCAAGACATGGTAAACATTTAAGGGTATAGGGTTGACCTGGTACAAGGATTTAGTTTATCCACAGTGAGATTTGTTCAGTTCTTATTTTAGGCTTTCACCAATTCCATAACCATAGCATCCAAAATGAAAAATACTAAAGTAACATTCATTATCTCCATATGGTCCCAATCCATATACCAAGTTTCATCAAGCAAGCTTTGTTCTTTTTGAGTTATGGCAGGATCCACATTCTTTCTGTCAGATGGAATGGTGAATGGATGGCCACAAAAATCAAAATACATTTGCACATACATGTAACATATATAATATCTATATGGTAATCTATCCACATATCAGCTTTTTTTTCTTTTTGGGTAATGGCAGAATCCAGATTTCACATACAGAATGAAGGGTGAATACCAGTTTTCCTTAAGGGTTAAACCAGTAGAGGTTAGATAAAAACCCATTTAGTAGCTTATAGGATTATATCAAAAACTTATTCTGTTCTTGCAGGAATAACAGCAAAATTTTTAAAACAACATGATATGTTTGTAAAACATGTATGCCCCCTATTGACAGCCAATTAGTCATGTGACCAGGTTATTATGACTGACTTAAAAAATCAATAAGGGTTAATTACTGGTCATAACTAGTCACTAGGTAATTGTGACTGCAAAGGTTGTGTGCAGCAATTTTATGACAAAGTTATTACAAATCTTACCAAATAATATATGCATATATTTATGAATCATGTAGGCCTCATTAATGACAGCCAAGTTGTCATATTACACGAGACCTTGAAATGTGTATACCAAAAGGATTTTTAGTTTAATAAAAAATATCAATCAAGGCAACTTAAGTTGTTGAGTTACTGGTCAGAAACAGTGTTTACCTACAAGGTCAATATGACAATGACCTTTGACCCTTAAATCAATAGGGGTTCTCTACTGGCCAAGACCAATGTATCTGTGAAGTTTGAAGGTAAAGGGCCCATGAGTTTGGATATTGATCAGAAAGTGTTGTTACCTATAATGTCAGTGTGATTTTGACCCCTTAATGCCAAACATTCATTGAGGTCATCTTCTTAACAAAAGCTATGCATCTGAAAACCTTGAAGGTCAAGGGTCCATGGGTTGTCCAGTTATTGATAAAAAAACTATTTTGAAATACAAAGTCAATGCAACCTTGACCTTTGACCCCTGACCCAAAAAACAATAGGTGTCATCTACTGGTGAAGACCAATGCACCTACAAAATTTGAGGGCCAACAGCCCATAGCTTGTCAAGTTATTGATCCGAAAATGGTTTTACCTACAAGGTCAATGTAACCTTGATCTTTGACCCCTTGACCCTAAAATTCATAGGGGTCATCTGCTGGTTATGAACAATCATCATACCAAGTTTGAAGTTCCTGGGCTTAAGCGTTCTTAAGTAATTAGTCAGAAACGGTTTTTACCTACAATGTCAATGTGATATTTGACCCATTGACCCCAAAATCAAAAAGGGTCATCTGCTGGTCATGAACAATAATCAAACCAAGTTTAAAGTTCCTAGGCCTAAGCATTCTTAAGTTATTGATCGGAACTGTTTTTACTAGGGTCAATGTAACCTTGACCTTTGATCCCAAAATCAATAGGGGTCATCTGCTGGTAATGAACAATATTGTACCAAGTTTGAAGTTCCTAGGCCTAAGTGTTCTTTAGTTATTGATCGGAAATTTTTTTCCTACAAGGTCAATGTGATCTTGACCTTTGACCCCTTGACCTTAAAATCAATAAGGGTCATCTGTTGGTCATGAACAATCATCAAACCAAGTTTGAAGTTCCTAGGCCTAAGTGTTATTTTGTTATTGATCGGAAACCGTTTGTACCTACAAGGTCAATGTGACCTTGGCCTTTGACCCAGTGACCCCAAAATCGATAGTAGTCATCTGCTGGTCATGAACAATAATCATACCAAGTTTGAAGTTCCTAGGCCAAAGCGTTCTTAAGTTATTTATAGGAAACCGTTTTTACCTACAAGGTCAATGTGATCTTGACCTTTGACCCATTGACCCCAAAGTCATTAGGGGCATTTGCTGGTCATGAACAATAATCATACCAAGTATGAAGTTCCTAGGCCTAAGTGTTCTTTAGTTATTGATCGGAACTTTTTTACCTACAAGGTTAATGTGATCTTGACCTTTGACTCCAAAATCAATAGGGGTCACATGCTGGTCATGAACAATCATCATACCAAGTCTGAAGTTCCTAGGCCTAAGCTTTCTGTAGTTATCACTTGGAAACCATTTGGTCTACGGACAGACAGACAGAGAAATGCAAAGGAGTATACCCCTACTTCTTTGAAGGGGGCATAATAACATTTACATACCATTTCTAAATTAAGAATGGAAATTAACTTGCATACAAATATATAACAAGAAATTTATTTTTTTCTAGTTTATTTAGTAATAGTTCAACATGGTATCAATTCTTATTATATATATACACATCCATGATGATTAAAACCACTGTATAATAAATCACAATATTCAAATAACACACTAGGGAAAACTTTCAAATAATAAATAAGGTCATAAAAACTGGATTGAGCTATACAAGTAGTTTTCAAATAAAGATTAAAGTAATTACAGGTCCTTAAATGTACAAGATTTCACTTTATTCTTTAGTGTGTAAGTTTTCATTCAATATTTAACACCAAACATTATGAAAAATATTACACAATATGTAAGAAAACTTCTTATTATTGTAAACAAATGGATACAGTTGTTTCAAATGTTTAACAAATGTGTATCTTGACATACAGCATTACTTGTATACTATCAGAAAACATAGCACATCTACAGCTCGAGGCATTAATTTACCTTTAATCTTATTAACTGCTTAATGATTGAACTGGTTAACATCATTTGTGAATCAACA